ATTTAATGCATAAAACAACATTTCTTGCCCATTGATAACATAATGTGTCTTTTATCAAAAATGTCCTTAACTATAACTATTACATAATTAGTTGGCTTTAAGAGCATATTTCTAACATCACCTTCAAAAGGGAATGGATTTTGCTGTTGGACCATGTGGAACTCGCCTGATGTTGCCCTCTCTTCTGCTCTACTTGATGAGCTAATGAAGAAGAATGCTGATCTGACTGACAAGCTCTCGAACGAGCGGATTCGCCATGATGCCAGGATGTCCAAGATGAAAGAGAGTATGTCTGTGTTGAAGAGTTCTCTTGGCCAAAAAGATGGTGAGCTCAAGTCTCTTGTTGCTACCCTGCTCGAACGTAAGAAGGACTACTTTCAACACGAACATAAGTACGTCATTCTGGCCCAAAATCGTGACAAGCTGCTGGTCAAGTTTGACACCCATGTTAAAGCCACGGAGGCATCCAAGCATGAGATTGCTGCTAATGCGTAAAAGCTGAGACACTTGGACTACAAGAACGGCTCTACTCCCTGTTGCCCCATCGATGATGAAGAGGCTGAGCTACTCTGCCTCGATGTGCCCCTACTCAAAGTGAGCAGATCAATGTTGTGGATGTAGATGTAGTTGAAGAGCACATGGTTGATGAGGCTGCAGTGGAGAAAGATAATGCCAAGGATAAGGTTGGTCAAGAGCTGGCAACTGGGGCAGTTGAGCATATGGCGGTGGTTGAGCAGAGGGAGGCCGTGGTCAGCGCAGCTAAGGAGGTGGTCAGCTAAGGGTCACCTACTGGAGTCATCGAGTAGATGTAGACTCCTTTATTGTTTTTGAACCTTGTAATTTTTTCTTCTTGTTTCAATAAGTGGTCTTTAGTCGACCATCTTCTTTCTTGTTGAACTTGGTCTGTTGGCCGCTTTGCTATGGAATTTCCAGTTATTTTTCAAACTTCAATTTGCATTGCATCTTGTAAACTGCATGTTTAGCTTATGTCCTGAGGCATGTTGATGAGAGTGGCCCGTTTGGCCTATGTCTGGAGACATGTCGATAGCTCTCGTGGGAGTGGCCCCGTAAGTGTTTGTCTTGAGACATGTAGATGAGAGTGGCCTATTTGGCCTATGTCCGAAGACATGTCGATAGCTTTCGTAAGATACTTCATTGAAAGAAAAGCTCAAACTTGTATTGATATTGGTGTGATTACATCGCTTTATTAAATAAAAGAGTTGGACAACATGGATAACATCGAAAGTAACTTGTCTTTAATGGAGGTGTGGGAGGCTCGATCGCTTGCTCGAAGCCAAGCTAGAAAGTAAGGGGCTTCATGGATCGTACTTCCGTAGGTGGTGAGCATTCCACTGTCTTGGAACTTCCTTCCCTTCTAAGGTGTCAAGGGTATAGCTTCCTCTGCCCCTCAGGCCAGATGATCACGTAGGGGCCTTCCCAATTGGGCATCATCTTCTTCGACCCCTGCCTTGGTGCTGTGATGAAAGTTTTTCTGAGCACAAGGTCCCCAAGTCGAAATTGTCTGATCTTGGCCTTCTTATTGTAGTAAGATGTAAGCTGCTGCTGGTAAGCTGCAACTCGAACAATGGTCAAGGCTTCTTTAAGCATATCAGGGTTGACTTTCATCTGTTTGCAGTTTTGGTCACAATTGCCCGCTTCAATGCTCATGGATGGAACTATGATGTGTGGGGGGATGATTGCCTCTGTCTCGTAAGTAGCCTCAGTCAAGATTGCTCGCTTCAATACGTCAAGACCGGGACATGGCCCAGGGTGGCGTTGAAGTAGTCGTGGGGCTGTGTAGCAAATTTCGGCAGCTACATGGTACTACTACTGTTGTGCTCCGACGGTGGGATGGTGCGGTGAAACTGCTCCAACAGCCTGTGCTTACAGCTACAAGGCTGTGGAGGCCACGAGACCATGTGGTGGCGCAACAGCATGCGGTTGCACATTTCCAGTCACTAGTTTCGGCGACTATGAAGAGGTTTCAACTGTGAAACCTTGCTGTGGTGCAGCGGTGTGAGCCGCTTGGCTCTCGGCTAGGTAGCCGTGAGGTGGGAGTTGTGGATTCGTCGTGGATTGCAACATCGTGGTGACCATACTCCTTGTAAGTCTAGTTCCTACCATGGTTGATCGGAACAAAGTCTATTTCCTACATGCATTGCTGCAGTCAGTTGGAGTGGGCCCAAACTTCAACTTCCAACTCTCAAATCAAGTTTCATCTGTCATGAAAGTTTCATCTGCCGTAGCACGATATTGTCCGCTTTTGGCCCCCCTCTCTGCCCTCACGATTTTGTTTCTGGGAACTCACGAGTAACTTTCCAGTGGGTCACCCATCTTGGGATTGCTCTAGCTCAAACTCGCTTAACTTCGGAGTTCCCATGAATCCGAAGCCAGTGAGCTCCCAAAAGGCCTCGTGCTAGATGGAGGTGAGCATGTACATATAAGGCACATCACCCCCCTCTCCGTTGGTTAATGTGGGATGTTACAATCCACCCCCTTAGGGGGCCGACGTCCTCGTCGGCACACTCGCACCACACGGCAGAGTGGCTCTGATACCAAATTGTCACACCCCGGATCGGCTCCGCCGTAGCACGATATTGTCCTCTTTGGGCCCCCCTATCTGCCCTCATGGTTTTGTTTCTGGGAACTCACGAGCAACTTCCCAATGGGTCACCTATCCTGGGATTGCTCTAGCCCAAACTAGCTTAACTTCGAAGTTCCCATGAATCCGAAGCCAATGAGCTCCCAAAAGGCCTCCTGCTAGATGGAGGCAAGCATGTATATATAAGGCACATCACCCCATCTCAGTTGGTCAATGTGGGATATTACAGTTCATCTCTATGTCTACTACAACATACCCAAATTTGGGTTTATTCGGACAAATGTGGAATCTAAGAGCTGAAAACAGCAGATGCACAATGCCAACAAAAAGCTTATAGGGCTCAATTTAGGTCTAATTAGGGCCCAATTTGGGCCTAATTACAATGCTCTAATTAATTTTTTTCCTTCATGAAAGTTTTTCACTAGAATGCCTACTGCAACATATCCAAATTTGGGATCATTTGGATAAATGTGGAATCCTCGCGACATCAAACATCATAAGCATACCAGCAACAGGGAAAGCTGAAAACAGTGGCAATTCGGGCCTGATTATGGCCCAATTCGGGCCAGCTTCCGGTCCTCAAATGAACATTCGTTCTTCATGAAAGTTGTTTATTTTGATGTCTACTACGACATATCCGAATTTGGCTTCATTTGCACAAGTATTGAATCTTCAGGGCATTAATCATAATTTCTGTTTGTGACAGCAGTCTGTGATGACCAGTCAGTTGCAACCATGCTAAAGCAGATTTTCTATTGCTCAAATGGAATTAAGTTCTTCATGAATTTTGTTCCTACTTATGTGGAGAACAACATATCCAAAATTGGCAGCAATTGGATCAATCTAGCATTCCCAGTTTATTATGCATCAAGGCATGTTCGGAGAAGAAATTTAGTAGCTGCTAATCAAGTTTCACTTCATCAATGGAGGGACTTCATCACAAGTGAGTTGATTCAAAGAAGAATAAAATAATGATGGGGTGGATGGAAACATTTTTATATTCTTTGTGATGAAGAATATTAAAATAAAGCCAAAGCTTAACATACACGTGAAAAGGTTGAAAGAAGAGAAGATATAATGCAAGTGGACTTAAAGAATGAATAAAAGTAGTAGAGATGGTCATTATCTTTCCATGTATTTTTTCTTTTAGTCAGCTACTTTTGGCTGTCACTCACCAATCAATGGCAAGTGGACTAATACTTTGGATTTCTTTAAGTCTAATAGTGACAACTTCTGTCATTTCTCATCAAAGCCTCTTAGCTGTCACTCACCAATCAATGTCAAGTGGACTAATACTTTGGATTTCTTTAAGTCTAATAGTGACAACTTCTGTTATTTCTCATCAAAGCCTCTTAGCAACTTTTTTGGGTTTACTTGTATTTTCAGCAACCCACTCACCAAAATCAATGGCAAGTGGGTACTTCAAATTGGTTGATGGTCCCAACACTCAACCGACCTCATTCTCTATAAATTGAAGGAGAAATCATCAACAAAGAGACAATAACTCAAACTACAACAACTCAACCAACAAAAACCAAACTCAACGTTCATAAGCCCAGCTCAAAAGCTTGAAACAGCCTTCCTTTTTCATTCTTTGAATTTCCAGTTGACAACTCTTGAGGAATTTTCTTTATTTTACTCTGCCAACTCTTGGTATGATTTTTCCTTGTACAAGATTGAATAGAGAAATCTTCAATGTCCATTTTAATTTTATTTATCCAGATCTGAATAGAGAAATCTTTAGGCTGTGTTGTTTATGTATTTCCTTTTTCCTTCAAGTTGTCTGAATAAAGAAATATTATGATAAACTTTTGTCATTTCCATTACCATTTAATTTCAGCTTCTTTTAGTTACCATTTTCACACTAGATGAATATTGAAATCCTCTTCATTGAGGCATAGAAAAGAACTTGTATTGGATCAATTCCCCACCCAATCCACAATTGATTAATTAAAGTCAATATCGGTGCGCATTTTCCAGTCTTACCATTTTCACTATGTTGGAGTTTTTCAGTGCCAACAGTGGCACGCCTTCGCAATCGCAATTTGTATATACTATGACCTCAATTTGTATTTTCATCTATTCTTTTATTCAATATTGTTAAGACAGATAGGATTGTTGTAAAACTTTTGATGTTGAAATTTTCTGTGTCAATTTTCACCGTCTATTTTGGTTTCCATATTGGTTTATACATGTGAGGTTTAGAATGTTGATACTGTATTGGGTTTCCATATTCTTACTGTCTTTATGGGTCTATTGATTGATGCACATGAAAAGAAAAATAACGAGTTAATTTTATTTTTTATTTTTATACCTTTTCATGTCTTGGTTTTTTAGGTAGCAAAGTTGCAGGACGACAACAGAGCACTTGATTGGCTTACTAAATCCAAGGAGACTGCTCTAGTTGAGGCCGAGAGAACTGTTCAGATTGCTATGATATAAAAGCATCCTTGGTTGACGATCTGCAAAACAAAAATTAAGAGCTGATGAAACAGATTGAAATATGCCAGGTATGTATGTTCTCTGAGTTTTCCTGCTGCAGGCAATGTGTGTGATTGAGGGAATGTACCGTGGGTTTTGTACTAGCATTAGACACTATTTTTTGTAACATGTACTAGTGGATTATCAGGAGGAGAACAAAATCCTTGACAAAATGCACCGGCAAAAGGTAGCTGAGGTTGAGAAGCTAACACAAACCGTTCACGAGCTTGAGGAGGCTGTTTTAGCCGGTGGAGCTGCTGCCAATGCTGTGCATGATTACCAGCGTAAAGTGCAGGAGATGAATGTAATAAACATTTCTTGGAACTCCAGTTCTTGCAAATCTCTTCGTAGTTGTTCTGAGTCTGTCACAAATGCAAACTGCCTCTAACCTTCAAGCTTGCGTAGGAGGAGAAAAAAACTGTTGGAACGGGAGGTGGCTCGTGCAAAGGTCTCTGGCAAATAAGGTTGCCACTGTTGTTGCAAATGAGTGGAAATATTCCAGTGACAAAGTGACGCCCGTAAAACAATGGCTTGAAGAAAGGAGATTGTTTCAGGCATCATTGCTGCATGCAATTCCTTTAATTTGTAGTGTACAAATAGTCATTTCGTTTCATTGTCTCAAGTTGCATCCTTAACCCAAGAGGTTGGCATTCTGGCAATTGAATGGGGCTTAGGCGCTTCATGCTGGATGAGGCAACTGCATGGACCTAGTTATTATCAATTAGCATGTGGACCAGATGCCTCGTCAACCCAAAAAGAAAGCATGAATTGGATTTTTTTTCTTCTTTAAATCGTTCTAAAAGTATTTAATGATTATCTATGTTTTGTTAACCCAAGAGGTTTAACATATGGAATTATCATCTAGTACCATAGATGACCTGCAATGATTATTGTTGGCCTACTGTCAAGATGCATATAGGATAGTGATAGAGACTACTCTGTATACAGAACCTTGAAACAGACATCTCATCTGGAAAATGGTTCTTTATTGCATAGACCACATATAATGCTTTCCTCAAATATTTGCAAATTGAGTAGTTACTAGAAAACGGGATATATATATATATGTATATAGAAATTCCCGTTTCCAGTGGCTAGGGAGCTCACTTCAATTTCCAGGCGTTCTACCCGTTGTTCCTCCATGCCCGGCTCTGATACCAAGCTGTTATGTGCTTGGGACAAGGCTCGTGTGATTGGGCGATTAGGTACATGGAGTTGGTATGTAGTTTTCTTCTTACAGCCACCTGTGGTTGCAGCAATATTTAGAAGGCTCAGTTGGGATAACAATTGGACGATAAGGGTTGCTTCGAGGGAACCCAAAACCTCCAAGTTAGACAAGCTAATAGTAAAGGATAATATCTGATGTTTTATTACAGTCCCGATCTCTTGGACCACGGGAGTCCAAGAGATTATAGTCACCCACCGTTGGATATTAATCTAATGGTTCAAAAAAGTTTCTTAAAAAGAATGCAAGAGTAAGTGAATCGTTGAATTTACATCCAACGGTGAGTGACCACAAATCTCTTGAACCCCTGTAGTCCAAGAGATCAGGACTATGCAGACTCTGTATTGAAGTAAATTAACATGACTCCTACAAATACTCAACAACTAAAATCTAGGGACATGCAGACTCCTCATGACTCCTCATGTAACCACTTCCACTAAGCACGTGACAGATTATCAATAAGCCTGTAATTGATTCTTCCTGTTCAATGCGAATTGCATTCTCCGGTCTAATTGCTGTTTTTGTTTCTGTATTCCTAATTTATCCGCTAGGTCAGTCTGCTTGGTTTTTGGCGCCCAGTTTTGGTGTAGCAGCTATATTTCGATTGGTTCCTCAGTGACTCAGAAATGCACCACCTCTCGTGGATCCTCTTTCTTCGTCTTCGATTGGGACCCTTTTTTGTGCTTCGTGTCAATTCGCACGTGCGTAGATAAATTTGGGGACGGTGAGAACCGACCTTCGCTCTCTTCGTCGTTCTCTATCTACTACTCGCAATCGCCGATCGTCGTCGTCGCCGTCTCGCATACTGGTTGTGCTTTTTCAAAGCCCTCTAGCAATTCGGAGCTCCGATCGCTGCTGCTCTTCGTTGTACCTTCAGGTGGGTTGCTTTCATTTTCCGATTCGATTCGATTCGATTTATTATCTTAGGGTTACTTACTGGATTGGGATTATTATGAAATTAGAAATTCAGCTTGTTTTATTTATTATTGAAATTACTTAATTAACTCTTACGACTGCATAGGTTTTGGTTACGATCTTCTTAGCCCCAATTTTCCCCCCTTGTTGATTGACCCCAATTTTCCCCTTTGCTGATTGATTGTTTTATCCATTTCTCACAAAGCTCAATATTTCACTGCTTATCATATCCCATTGTAAATATGCAAAATTTGCAATGTTTACGTGAAAATGGCATTCGATTCTGCCTAGTTCAATATCAATATCAATTTCGAAGCTATTGTTATGCTTCACATTTTTCATGTATTGTTTTCCATTGTATTCACCTGCCCAATTCTACATTTTTACTTGGCTTTCTGCTACTAATTATCTTGCAATTTTGAATGGTTGTTTATTATTTTTTAAAGAGAAAATGGTTGTTTATTGATACAACAATTTTCTCATCATGTCGTGATAATTCTGTTTTTTCTTCCCAAGTACTAGTTTTATTTGTTTGTGCTATTTCTCCTCTAAATGAGACTCATGATTTATGTTCTTTAGCTGACTGAATATATATGATTCCTTTGTTTCGTCACTGTATGTACAGTGTGGAGGGAGTTTATTGTGGCTAAAGCATGAGTAGGCAGTGCAGTTCAAAAGTTTTCGTTTTTTAAGTTGTGCGTTACTTGGCAGTTAGAGTCAGCGTGGTGAAGGATGAAGGAGATGAATGTGCAGACACACATGTCAGGACAGATATCTGGGCAGGTGCCCAATCAGGCAGGCACTCAGATGCCTGTGCTGCCCCAACATAATGGAAATTCCTTTCCCACATTACGTTCAATTATGCAAGAAAAGATGTAAGATGCATTTCCTTGGTGTTATACCCTTATTTATAAGGATATTGAATTGCTTGTTATCATGTCGATTTCTTTATTCTTTGCTCATTTTCTTTGAAGTGTGTTTTTAGTCTGTTCAAAGATATTTTTGATATATGATTATTTTTGTTTGATTCATTTCTTTTAAAATAGTAGCTGATGTGCCTTTATCTTCAATATCAGATGCATTGACTTGTACATATGCTTTCAGATCCTTGGGGAAATATTAAGAAATGCTTGATTTTTGTTTTGGATGAATAACATGCGCTTTATTCATTTGAAAAGAATAAATACAAAGTGGACAAGATATCCACATGCTACAGACTAAAAAAATACAAACTATCAAAGTGTCCATATAATCTTAACCCATATGATCGACCGAATAATTCAAGAAACAGTTAATGCACATATAACGAAGGCTAAACTGTTTTTTCTGTAAACGTTATTTAGCCTTCTATGGGGAGTCAATTTTGCATATCCTGATTGTTCTTGCATTTTGAAGTGGATTGCCATTTCATGTCTATGTAGTATGTCTTATGTGATACAAGATTTGTGTCCTGCAAACCACAGATGAATTCTATGAGTGCAACACAATATCTAGTATTTGAAGCCTTGTTCTCTCTCTCTCTCTCTCTCTCTCTCTCTCTCTCTCTCTTCTTCCATCTTTATGAAAATATTCCTGATTTCTTAACAATGAATATTACATTTTTGTTTCTGTTGCTTCAGATCCAATAATGCATGATTAATTAGTTCTTTTATTTATTTGAAAGGGAAAACAAATTTTGGAGTTTTCTTTTGCTGTTTGTGTTTTAGTTGTCTCATAATTGTACTATTGTTGATTCAAATGCAGTATTCCGCGTTTTATGTTTGAGCATTTTTTACCTGAGTACTGATGTTATCATCTTGCTTTTCAGCTGTCAAATTATACAGCAGCAGCAACATCCCCAGCCAATGAGTGACACAAAGTTTAGGGAGATTGTTAAAAAATTGGATGAGGGTTTGTTGCGACATGCGCACACAAAGGTTTCTCATTTTCTTTTCTATCTGTTTTTCTATTCACGTCTCTTTTAGCCTATTTAGGTAGATGTTGTTTATCTTTTTTATCAGTCGTATTGCAAAGGGTTCTTACCTGGTATTATTCTTATTTTATCTGAAATAATTATCATTTAGTAACCTACGGTTGTGTTGTTTGCAAATACTATTTTAGGATGACTATATGAACATGGAAACGTTGGAGAGTCGTTTGCACAATTTGATTAAGCGACCCCAAAACCAGAGCCAACAGTATCAACAGCTTGTTATTTCTTCCTCGCCTATTGGTACGATGATACCGACCCCTGGTATGTCACACAATGGGAGAACTCAAATATGATGGTTACTTCTTCTGTGGATGCTTCTATGAACACTAGAAGAGGAAGTACTAGCATTGCACCTACCACAGTCAACACAGGGAACCTGTTGCCTGCTGGAGCTCAATCAGAACCAGTACTGCAAGGTCAATGGCATCATCAATCGCAAGATGGGAGTCACAGACAGGCCAACATGTCCCATGAGCAGCAAGTCCATGAAGATTTCCGTCAGAGGATATCCGGGCAAGATTAAGCTTAGTGTAATAATTCATCTTCAGAAAGGCCTAATGTTGTTCAAAATATGGGGAACAGGGGACTACATTAAAAATATATTTATTTATTTATTTATTTCACATTAAAAAAGAGAGAGGAGGAAACAGGGGACTACACTACACGTTCCAAGTTATATTTTTTCCTGGCATGACATGGGTATTGAAGCTTGTGTAAGCACTTCGGGGCCGCGCTTGACGGGTTTCTGCTTACACAAGTTGGGCCTTCTTTACAACAAGATGCTATGTTGGGTTTGAAATACACTTGGGCCTCTGTTAAGACTTTTTGAGACTCAATACTATTCACTAAATGGAATCGTTAGCGGTCCCAATCATCAATGTGATCCAATAATATGAACCATTCATTTTTAAGGACCTCATTCAATGATAATCCTTATTCGAAAGCATTTAGTCATCTAACAATAGCACAAGAAATAAACGCACATGACGTTTCCGCCAAAATAGCTAAAATTTCATTATGATAATCAAATGGTCCAAACGATTTTGGATTTTGCTGAAATTTTTGAAGCGATTTTTCTTAAACGGTGAGCTAAAAACTAGACGGTTTAGATCATTGAGCTATATTGAGTAGTGTACTAATATTAAAAAGAGAAATACTACATGAACAAGAGCTAGTAATTTGGGCTTGTAGTTGTTTTTTACGGGTTTTGTCCGCTTTAGTTTTGTTTTTTTTAGCATATTAGGTTTATCGCCCTCTTGGACTTCCTGCTTAGAATGTCATATATCAGCTTCATTATTAAAGGTTGTCTAACGAAGTTGTTATTTGATGTTTTTCTTTTAAAGAATTAGTCAATGAGTATACTAGTACCTTTGAATGTCATATATCAGCCTCATTATTAAAGCTTATCTAATGAAGTTGTTATTTGAAGTTTTTTTTAAGAATTAGTCAATAAGTATACTAGCACCAATATAAGGATTATATGAAAATACTTAGTGGATCCGTTGGAAGTATTTCCTTGTCCACCTCATTGTGACTACAGCGTATCTTCATCATACACATGTTAAATTGAAATCTTTCATTTTCTAAATCACAATTTAAAGATCCTCGCTATGAAAAACTCAATCAAATTTAAGATATTTTAGTCATTTAAATGTATCAACTAAATGTACGGTTCATCACGAGAAACTTAATTATTACCAAAACGTTCAATTTGTTGAATACATATGAGTTACTAGAAAGTCTCCAATTTAATTATTTTTGTACATAGAATATATGGTGATTTTAAAAAATGATCTGATTATTGTATGTGAATGCTAAAGATTAATTATTCACAACGGGGTGGATAGAGTGGTGCACCTATTGAACATATTCGGCTAGTATATGAGTTTGAACATCCTTTATTTCCAAGCCAGTTTTGTACAAGCAAGTTCTTCCCATGGTTCCTATCAATTACCTTCATAGCCGGTTACACTAGACAACTGCACAGTGGAATATTAATCTTAACATCTCACTGGAAAAGTAGAATATGACTTTGACCACTATATGAGCTCTTTAGCTCTTTTCCCTTGCAAGTTGCTAGTCAATCCAATAAAAGTCCCTCTCTCTCTCTCTCTCTCTCTCTCTCTCTCTCTCTCTCACACACACACACACAAATTCATTATGCAACCTCGACAATGGATTAGCGTCACCACGATCTGTGCAGCTCTCATCCAAGCATGTTTAACTGCAAACTCCCTCCCAGAGGCTGATAAAATTACCAGTTTGCCACATCAACCACAGGCCAATTTCCAGCAATATGCAGGATATATAACTGTGGATGAAAAGCAACAGAGGTCACTTTTCTACTACTTTGTTGAAGCAGAAACTGATCCTGCTTCAAAGCCTCTTGTTCTTTGGCTTAATGGAGGTGAGCTTACCTTAATTCTTCCACATGCTTTAAAGAACGTTGTTCTTTGGCCAACTTATATGCTTTTTTTGTTTGTTTTGAGAACTTATATGTGCGTTAAGCAATGCTAAAAAGACAGAAACTGAACTTTCTGAGTTTTGAAGGGCCTGGTTGTTCATCTGTTGGAATTGGAGCTTTCGGTGAGCATGGACCTTTTAAGCCAAGTGGAGACATTCTGCTCAAGAATGATTTTAGTTGGAACAGAGGTAAGTAATCCCATTAATTCTATTATCACAATTGTGGCACTGCCAATGTTAGTTTCTGCTCCGAATTCACGTTGATACTCTGTCATCTTTACAGTAGCAAATATGCTATATTTGGAGTCACCAGCAGGAGTTGGCTTCTCCTACTCAGCAAACAAATCATTCTATGGTTTCGTGAACGACGAAATAACAGGTTGTCACTTCATATGACTTTCTCAATCCTCATCCAACCAAGAAGAAGCCAAATAGAGAGACTTTTTTTACATCTCAAATTAAGAATTTTTTAAACTTCATTGAACATCTCATGTTCATAGAGATAAAATTATGCCATATAAATGGTCATATCTAGCAAAATACTTATTATGTCTGCTCTATTTAGCACGAGATAATCTCGTGTTCCTTCAGCGCTGGTTCGACAAATTCCCAGACTACAAAAACAGGGATTTTTTTATCATCGGAGAGAGCTATGGAGGTAACATCATTCACTTATAAACACCATTTTCTATCGCTGACGAACTAGCACTCAGTCTAAACAACTCGATATGTCACCAGGCCACTATGTTCCTCAGCTTGCACTACTCATTGTCCAATCAAAACTGAAGTTCAATCTGAAAGCAATAGCTGTAAGAAAATGAAAATTGAAAGAGTGAAATGAAAGTTTCTAAAGTGACTTTGGTGTTGATGATTTTGATTAAGATTTGTCATGCTTGAGCTTTTATGCTTGCAGATAGGCAATCCGCTTTTGGACTTCAACACTGATCTCAACTCAAAAGCGGAGTACTTGTGGTCGCATGGGTTAATATCCGATGCGACCTTTGAAATTTTCACTTCAGTCTGCAACTATTCTCAAATTTATAGACAGAGTGTAATTCAAAATGCTCCGCTTAGCCCTGATTGTACTGCAGTAAATAACCAAGTTCACACAGAAGTCAGTAAATTTATCAACAATTATGATGTTTCTCTTGACGTCTGTTTATCATCAGTTGTTGCTCAATCTCAGATGCTGAATCAACTGGTAAGACTTGTTTTTTTTTTTTTCTCCTTTAATTTGTTTGGAACTCTTTGTGTTTAATATGAACTCACGTACATCCGCAGCAAAACACAGAGAAGCTGGATGTCTGCGTTGAAGATGAAACACATACATACTTCAACCGACCAGACGTCCAGGATGCACTTCATGCTCGTCTAATTGGAGTCGAAAACTGGACAATGTGCAGCAAGTAATCATCTCACTTCAAGTCCTTTCTGTTCTTTGTGCTTTCGCCTCTGCGTACCGGCTTCTAACTTTGATTATCCTCTTTCCCAGCCGAATTGTCATCAAGTACGAAATGCAAAATCTGGAAACACCAATGCTTCCTCTTTTAGGTGCACTTGTAAACTCTGGAATCCGGATTTTGGTTTACAGGTATATCTATACCATACTTATCGATGTACAAAAACTCTTGGTCATTAACAACGTCATAAAGTCTTTCACAAATCATAAAAATCATATCTTAAATTTGTTCAGTGGAGATCAAGATTCTGTTATCCCTCTAACTGGGACACGGACACTGGTGCATAGATTGGCCAAGGGCTTGGGACTGAAAACGACTGTGCCTTACAGAGTCTGGTTTGAAGAAAAACAGGTATGTCAACCAGATAAGTTATAAATAATTTGACTCAGACTTCTTGTCTTCCTTTCATACCCTTTGTTCATTTCTTTCTTAACTTGTCAGGTTGCTGGATGGACACAAGTATACGGGGATGTTTTATCGTTCGCCACCATAAGAGGCGCAGGTCATGAAGCTCCAATAACACAGCCAGAGAGATCACTGCTTCTGTTTAGTTCATTTGTGGGAGGAAAGCCATTGCCAGAAGCACTCTCTCACTGAAGGTCTCGTATCATTCATCATCTGGATATCGATTTATTCACCAGCTTGTCATGTCAAACAAGCTTCATCGGATCAGTATTTATGGAATAAAAGTGAACAAGTTGTAACAAAACCAGTTTATTAAGAATAATAAGCGCAATGAGTGCTTTTTCTCTTTACCAGTTGGAACATGTGAAGGAGGAATTACAAGCAAACTAAGCACACTTTAGAATGTTAGATAAAACCCTACTTGTGCTTCTTTAGCAATATTCTAAACTCCATTCTCCCATTCTCTAGTTTCTCTTCTATCTTCTCTTTCTCCATTTATCTTCTAACTAAAATTTCTCTATCTTCCATAAAACCTGGATAGCTAATAATCGATAGAAAATAAAAATCATAAAAGGCATTGAAGTGTTAATAATATTGAAAGAGATGTTATGGGGTCTATATGCAATTGAGTTTGACCACATGCTCAACTTTGCGGACTTAGAAAAAATTCGGTAAGACGAGAATGGCAAATATGATTTTTTTGGTGAGATTAGGTCCAATGAACCTATTTAGATGTGCGGATTTATCACAAAAGTACTCGTTCCAATTAGTAGTAAACCACCAACTTTTACCTTGGCACACTTTGCAAATATAAAATTATGTGCATCCATCTGGCTTAGTTTGTTTTTATTTGTACACACAATAGCCATGAAATTATAATGAGCCTGAAAATCATGTGCAATTGTCCAAAAATTTCTTTTCCAGTCAGCCATGAAACTATAATGAGCCTGAAAATCATGAGTCGTCCCAAATTAGTTAGTTTATATAGATGTTGTAGACGACTCTTCAAGTCAGCCCAGCCTCTAGCTTTCCAGTTTGAATTTCAAATCACCAGCCAGCTTTCATATTTGGGAGTCATACTCTCCCACCTATTCTTGTATGTGAACAGAGCAAAAATCATAAAATGTTTGCAAGGATGATCTAACTTAGCTACCACACAAAGGAGAAAAACTTACTTACATCGATAGAGAGAGAATTATATATACAGCTCGTGACATGCAAGTTCTTTTTCGCACTCAGGTATGGAATTTTGTCTTAAAATTGTAAACAGAAATGTGGTTTTATGAATATTAAGAAATTTCATATTGCCATTAATCCATCTAGCTGAACATTTTGAAATTTCAAAATTATTTTCTTGTTTATTATAAAACATTGAAGGTCCCAAGTAAATTTGCACTATATACAGTAATTGATCACAATGTAAGAGAAACGTTGTATACAATAAGTATAGGGAAAACATATATGTCATAAGGATGTGGCCATGGGGAAAAAGAAAAGCAGATAGTCCAATTTGAGTTGTGAGCAAAGACAACAGAACCGGCCATTGACAGATAGACAGAGGAAACAAGAAAAATGAAGAAAACACTAAGTCAATGCACTTTTTATCGCTTCTTTGATTTTGATTCCTATAGGCACTGATCTGTGCAAATTTTAAATATACAAAGTCACAAAGTCAGAATAGAAAAAGGGACAAGGTAGGTAGATTGTTATTTTCAAATAAAAAAAATAGTGAACTTCTCACAACAATGTCACAACATTCTTCGACTTTGATTCATTTATTTGTTTCTTTTGCTGCTTGACTTATTGGTTGGTCGTGAAAACCAATAGACAGCTGCATTCTGTTTGAGGTTAAGTGCACACTCATTCTTAAGTTCTATCCACAGTCACTGCCAATAAAAAGTAAAAGAAAATTAGGATAAAGTTAACAGACCCTTTATAAATACCTCTGTTACCATCCCATAGAGAAAACACATTCATATATTCTCTCTCTCTCTCTCTCTCTCTCTCTCTCTCTCTCTCTCTCTCTCTCATTATGGAACGTCAACAATGGAGTATCCTCCTGACAATATGTGCCACTCTCATCCAAGCATTTTTAACAGCAAACTCCTTCCCAGAAGCTGATAAAATCACCAGTTTGCCAGGTCAGCCACAAGTGAGTTTCCAGCAATATGCAGGATATGTAACTGTGGACGAAAATCAACAAAGGGCACTCTTCTACTACTTCGTTGAAGCAGAAACTGATGCTGCTTCAAAGCCTCTTGTTCTTTGGCTAAATGGAGGTGAGCTTACCATTCACTTATTTGCATCATTTAGAAATCTTACTAGATTATGTGAGCGCGTATATACACGTAAGCGAGCGTACTTTCATACATGCAAGAAGTTTCGAGTTAGAATTGTAGCATTAAAGAAAACTGTGAACGTATATCTTCTGGCCTGCAATTTAATGATTAGGAGCTTTCAAGTTTTAGATTTTTTTTCGAAGATTATCCATACCAAAAAATCAGTCAAATTTAAAATTGTTTAACTACTATTTGATTATTGTCATTAGTATTTCATTCTTGACTGAGAAACTGTAATTGTCTACAAAATTTAAAGTACAAAATGGTTTCCAAGTTGGCCCTTTTTTGTAACAATGATCTTTGAAGAATGACCTAAAATATTGACGATTACGATCATTAAACTACATTGTGGGGCAGCCATAGGGAGGAATGAGAAATCCTCACTTGAAAATTTTCCTACATCTATATTATCCTTACATTTACATACATGTAATCAACTAGTAATGAACTTTATGAGTAATGAAGGGCCTGGCTGTTCATCTGTTGGAGCTGGAGCCTTCATTGAGCATGGACCTTTTAAACCAAGTGGGGACATTCTGCTCAAGAATGATTTTAGTTGGAACAAAGGTAAGTAATCCCATTAAAGTCTATGCTATGCTTAATCAATTAATGAGCTTATACTAATTCTCGTTATGGTTTTCTTCCTTTTTAATCTTTTGCAGAAGCAAATATGCTCTACTTGGAATCACCTGCAGGAGTTGGCTTCTCCTACTCATCAAACCAATCATTCTATGGTTATGTGGATGATGCTATAACAGGTTTTCACTTCATATCAGTTTTTCATCAAACTAAGAAGAACATCAAAATTAAACGGATTCTTTCTGACTTGTGAGTCTGTTCTCTTCTGTTTAGCAAATGATAATCTCGTGTTCCTTGAGCGCTGGTTTGACAAATTCCCAGAGTTCAAGAACAGGGATTTCTTCATCACAGGAGAGAGCTATGGAGGTAACCATTCCCTTAATAAACACCGGTTACCAGATAAAAAATTTGTTAAGGCATGAATCGTTGGTTCCAACGTCTAAACAACCCTGTTTGCTGTTTGTTCCCAGGCCACTACGTTCCAGAGCTTGCACTTCTGGTTGTCGACTCGAAACTGAATTTCAATCTCAAGGGCATAGCAGTAAGCAAATAAAAGTTGAAAAACTGAGACCAATTGAAGTTTCTTAAGTAATAAACTTAAGAGTTTTTTTTTTATGTAATGCAGATAGGCAACCCCCTTCTGGACTTCAACAATGATTTCAACTCAGTGGCAGAGTACTACTGGTCTCATGGATTGAGTTTTTTTTAATGTAATGCAGATAGGCAACCCCCTTCTGGACTTCAACAATGATTTCAACTCAGTGGCAGAGTACTACTGGTCTCATGGATTAATATCAGATGCCACCTTTGAAAGTTTCACCTCTGTCTGCAACTATTCTCAAATCGTTAGGCAGATAATTAATACCGGTACACTTAGCCCTACTTGTGCTGCAGTATCTAACCAAGTTCAAACAGAAGTCAGTGACTTTATTGATCAGTACGATGTTACTCTTGACGTCTGTTTATCCTCCGCTGCTGCTCAATCTCGGAAGCTCACTCAACTGGTAATTGAAGACTTGGCATTTTTCTCCTTTCATTTCCTCTGTTGAAGTCACTCACTCACTCACTCACATCTACAGCAAGAAACAGAGAAGATAGATGTCTGTCTTGAAGATGAAACTAGTAAATACTTAAACCGGCAAGATGTACAGGATGCACTTCATGCTCGGCTTATTGGAGTCTCGAATTGGACCATTTGCAGCGAGTAATCATCTCACCTAAAATACTCATAATCACAACCTGAAAAAGAAATGTTCCACCTTGTAATATTACACTGCCTGCCGCTGTTTTCTAACTTCGATCATCTTCTTTACAACAGTGTCGTCAATTATCATCGGCAAAACCTGGAAATATTAATGCTTCCTGTTTTGGGTTACCTTTCCCGGTCTGGAATCCGGATTTTGGTTTACAGGTAACCATGTTTTTTATGTCCGCATTATACTCATCGCAGTACAAAAACTCTTCGTCATCCACGACGTCCTAAATGCTTTTACAAATTCTAAAAATTATATCTTGAATTTCTACAGTGGAGATCAAGATTCTGTTATCCCACTAACTGGGACACGGGCAGCGGTGGATGGATTGGCAGAGTTCTTGGAACTGAATACGACTGTGCCTTACAGAGTCTGGTTTGAAGAAAAACAGGTCTGTGAACCAAACCAGATTTGAAAGGACTCCGCTTCTTGCCTTCCCTTCTTAACCATTGTTCATTTCTTTCTTAACTTCTCAGGTTGCTGGATGGACAGAAGTATACGGTGATGTTCTATCATTTGCCACCATAAGAGGAGCAGGTCATACAGCTCCATATACACAGCCAGAGAGATCACTGCTTCTATTTAGTTCATTTGTGGGAGGAAAGCCACTGCCAGAAGCACTCACTCACTGACCAAATTCATAAATAAAAGGAAGAGCAGAGGTCTTACATCATTCATTACGCATAATAACTGAAGCAGATTCATTTGCTAGCTACATACAGATCAGCATTCCGAAAATAAAACCTTACAAAGTGCAAAATTCGAAATAATAATAATAATAATAATAATAATATCAGTATATTGGGAAGAGTAAGCTCAGTTTGTACTTTTTCTCTTTATTAGCAATATTGCGGCAATATCCAATGAAATTACAGTTCGGATAACATTTTTAATTTCTTCCTTATGTTAAAAGAGCTTATGCGATATTCCAATGTAAACCAGAAACATCACAGTTGCACTAAAATTACTTGTCCAATAACAGAAAAAGATAAGTGTTGCATATTTCTTTCATCTAATATTACGCACATAACAGATGTAACTCTTGCGCATCAGCAGCCAGGACGACTCCAATACATGCTACCGAACTCCTCAAATCACTACGTTAAATCATGAAAAAATTTAACACGGTCACAGGTCATATAGTACATCAGTCGTGCAAGGTTCCCAGTATATCCTCATCTCGATATAAATGGTACCTAAAATGGCAGAAATCAGCTTCATGAGCATGTAAT